GAGGCCGCGTGCGCCCTGCCCTCGGAGGTGGAGACTGTGTCCCTAGGCGTCCCCCAAGACGTGGCCCAGGGCGCCACCTGCCAGGCCTATAAATTGGCCGACTACAGCCATCTCCAGGAAACTGATATTTAAGGACCCTGGGGAGTATGTCAGCGGTGGGAGGAACGGTATGGAGAGGGAGGCTGGCTTTGTTCAAGAGGCCGGTGAAAATCGGGGACCCAGAAACTGATCAGGAAATCTGCTCTCCTGCATCCCTGAGGAACTGAGGTGGGGGTGGGGCCCTTAAAGGGTGAAAAGTGATGGAACCCCCACCCCCACCCCGACTGGACACAAATACCCCCAGTTCCCTTTCCAGGTAGGGGCTGCGGGCTCCTTGGGGCCATTTTGCTTCCAATCTCTGTTTGAGAAACACTGCCCTGTCCATGTCCTGAACCCAGGATAGATGGCCCCAAGTATGGTCAGGCAGCCCTGTCCCTCCTCCTGGGGAGGGAAGGACACAGAGGCCCTGCCTGGCTGCCCACAATGCCTCCCCTAGGGGAAAACTCAGTGGGGCTTCTCAACGGACACAATTTCTCCTTACTGCCAACTGGAAGAATCCAGTGGACCTGCCACTGCCACCCATAAGCTTTGGTGGCAGATTGGGTGACCGCGCTAGAAGCCTGTTGTATTAACCAGTGGGCCCACTCCCCTCTGTTGAGGCTCCTCCCTGCATACCTAGCCCTGCCCCCATTATGTCTCCCCAGGGGCCTTACTGTTTACACTCTGTATATAGTTCGTTGTGCCTGTGCCCACCGTTTCTCCCTGGGATCCAGAGCCATCAAATGGGGAGAGCTTTGTCATTTTTAGACATATTTATTGGTCAGAGAACTTCTATTTTGTCCAAACGGTGCAAACTGTCCCTCTTTAGCATACAAACCATAAAGAACTACATTTTTTCCCTAAAATCCTTCAAGTACTAACGACCACAACAAAATAGATTGGGTCTGTGTTCACCTTTCTAGTTTCAATCTAACTGTCTCTTTAACTGATGGCTGCTGCCCTTTGGGACTTCTAGCATAACCAAAGGCCTCAGGTTGGCTTTTAAAGTTCATACAACCAGTCTTGGCAACCAAACAGTAATCATAAGTACAAATTTTCCCTTTGCCAGTCTCCCCAGATGAACCTGTGTTGTTCTGAGGGCCTCAGTGAGGACGGTGGCCATCAGTTAAATAGGTGAAACATTACATGAAAAATATACCAGCCCAAGTAGACAGGAGTACATGGTGAGTGAGAGATATCTACCTAGAAAGAATGCTTGTTAGTTTTGGGTAAAATGTCCAACACTTGTCATATTCCCAAGAGACTGTAGGTAGTTCAGTCCTCAGCTGGATAATATCAACCACATCCATCCATCCATCCATCCATCCATCCAAGTAAGGGTCAGTGAGGATTAAACACTGGGCTCACAGGCAGATTCAACAGCAGGGGAAGGTCTCTGAGCAGGGCGAACTTTGGTTCCCACCTGCCAGGGCAACTGAGCCTACAGGAGGTCAAGAGTGGGGACAAGGGAGCAGGGTGGGGAGGGGGCTGTCAGCAGAAGGATTCAGTGGGGGGACCTCCCTGTCGTGGATAATAGTTGGCGTGGAGGCGGGCAGGGTCAGCAGTTTGCCCAGTACTTTTTCTAGGCTCGATGATCAGTCAGCAAAATCTATCTGATGTTCAAGCCTCAGCTCCTGACTCCTGCCTAAAGGGCCCTCTGCACACAGCTGCCTTCTCCCGTGCCCTCCACACCAGACCGAGCCTTCAGAGGGTGGGGGTGCTACACAGCCCCCAGAGAGGCTGTGCCACAGCAAGGGCATCCAGCAACCCAGATCTAATCGTCAGTAAAGCACTGAGCTGCTGACCCTGTTCTCAGGACGTGGCAAAGAGCCCTCGGGCGGCCAGGAGGAATGCAAGGGGTACAACAGCCCTTCTGGAATAGGGAGCCTCTTGCAAAATGATTTGGGGACATTTGGAAGATGTGCATTCACTGCACCGTTTCCTGGGCCCCCAGGTGCCCCAGCCCTGCCGACATCTCTGATTAGACTGTCCCTGAGGCACATTTTTAAAATGAGGCTGTTGTCTACAGGAGGTCCCTGTGAAGTGTCAAGGCGACTGAGGGAATGGGGAAGACTCTCAGTACCCATCAAAATGGGAGCAGGAATGCCTTTACACAACCCTCAAGGGATGGGGTGGGGCCCAAAGGAGTCTATGAGGGGGAAGGAGGATGGGTCTGTGAGATGTGACAAGAACAGAAGTCTCCAAGGACACTGGCATTTGCCCAATCCCCCCGCCAGATTCCTTAGAAAGCCTCATCCCCACTTCCCTCCCAAGGCCCCAGCTCCAGCCCGCCCTCCTTCCCCAGCTGGTCTCTTGTCACCCATCCTTCTTGCTTCCCACACTCTTTCCAGGACCTCTGTCCCAGCATCCCCCGGGGCTGCTTTTGCAAGTCACCTGGGACCTATCATTTCCCCGATCCCCGCCCCTCTGTCTCTGCCACAGTCCACACTGGAGGCTGCCCCCTGCTTCATGAATATTCCTCCCTGACTGAGCCACATGCCTGGGATCTTCTGGTCCCCTGACTACACTTTCTCTCTCTGCCTCCTGCACAGGCACGTCTCCATGCCCTTAAGTGTCCCCCCGGGGTTTTCTTTATCTCAACTCACCACCCAGTCTCATCCACTCCAAATCATCTCAGTGACCACTTGTATATAAATGGCTCCCAAGGGTCTGTCTCTAGTTTCAAATATGTGTGTTCACCCTCCCCTGGATGATTCCCCAGACACCCTCAGTACGAGCCCACTGGCCTGCAAAGCCATCTCCTCTACTCCACACAGGCGTGACAAGGCCACTGGTGCTGAAGCTTCAGGATCCCGGAGGCACCTCCTTGCCGGCCCTCTCCACTGGCATCATCTTCCCCAGACCTCCTTCCCAGACCCTTGCTTAGAATGAAGCCCTGAGCAGCCCTCAGTCTCTCGGGTAGCTCGCACTGATACAAGCCAGTCCACTGACAGAATCTGCATCTTTGTCTGTCACGGGGTAGAAGGCTTTCTGCCCCAGTGCCCACCTGATGGCTGGCTAACATCACTGTCTGCAAGACCCTCACCCCATCTAGTCCCACTAGTCCTCAAGAGGCTAGAGTGTGTATCGTTCCCCAGTCAGAGAGCCAGCTGTATCCTGGACTTCTCCAGAAACTCCTGCTCCCCGTGCCCCGCAGCCCGGCCATCCCTCCCACCAGGAGCCCCACCCTCCCCCGCAGGCCCCTCACCGCCACCACAGCCACCACAAGCCAATCTCTAAGGCCCTCCTGCTCCAGGCACTGACAGGTCCTGGGGAAAGGTTCCAGACCTCAGCGACCCGTCAGAGCTCTGACTCCTCAGTGCCCTCCTGGCCTTGTTTCTATTCCCATCCTGTCACACCCCCAGGGGGTTACATGTTCACTATCCACATGGAAAAGAATTTTCTTTTTTTTCCCCCTTCTTTTTGTGGCTCCAGTGAAGCACAAAACCAGATGCTTGAAAAGGCTAAACCTGTCCCATAGCCTCTCAGCTCAGAATAGCTCTCTGGGGAGCCCAGTGGATCCAGGTGGTGCTGGGGGTGGTGGCTTTGGGAAGGGGGGCTGCACTTGGCTCTCCTGTGGTTCTGTGCTATTATTTCTTCCCTTGGTGGGAGCCAGACGACAAAGAGAATGCTGAACAGGACCCTGGCCTACATTCTCAAACTGCTCTCATCTAGGGAAGAATGAAGCAGGAGTTACAGGGTGCATTTGGAATCCAGAAGAAATCTAGGAACTGGGGCCATGCTAGGCTGAGTTTTTGAGCCAGGAGCCAGAGAGAAGGATGCACTGGAGGAGGACCTCACCCATGACATTTGTGGACGTTCCTTCCAGGAGTTTGCCCTTCACGGGACTCCACCATGCTGTTTGCATTCACCTTTTTATGTCCTGCCAGAAACCACAGGAGCCTCAGCTCCCCTTCCTGAGACCTGATTGGTCCTGCTCATCTTTTGAGCCAAGCAACCAAGTTTCACTGGCCAGCCTATGGATTGGCTGATTTGAGGTCAAGTCTGAACAGCTTGGCAGGCAGATGGGCGTGGGACAGAGCACGTGGTACAAAACACAGCTGCCTGTGGGTGGAGTAATTCTCCGAGATGAGGGAGGGGTGGGACAGATAATGATGGACATCTCTCACATGCTGGATCGGCTAAGAATGCAGCTGCAAGTTATGAGGAAGCTGATCAATTGCTGCTCAAATACTGGTCATTCTTTTCTTTGCTTGGTAAGTTACAAAGTAGGTAGGTTCCGGCACTGCAGTCACAGACCCAGGCTCTTCCGATCTTGGCTTCATAATCTTTGGTGTATTGGTTTCTGCTGCCTCATCATGGTCAGTGGCACCGTAACTCACATTCATATTCAAGGCGGAGAAAAGAGAAGGGTCTAGGTCCTTTATCAAGATGATAAAAACTTGCCCCAGACCAGCCTTCCCCAGCACACCTCCACTTAGGTCTTATAGGCCAGAACTGGGTGCCAAGACCATCCTGCAAGGCGGCCTGGTAAAATAAGAAACAGGATGGAGTGATTGGCTTAGAGCAGAGGTCTGCAAAGTGGGCCAAATTCAGCCCGCCACCTGACTTTGTACAACCTAGGAACTAAGAATGGGTTTTACATGTTTAAATGGCTGGGGGGAAAAGTCAAAAGACTATTTCAGGATAGGTGTATAATATGAAAGTTACCTCTTGGCTCCCAAAGCCTAAAGTTAAAAAAAAATTTTTTTTGTTGTTGATGAAGTTGGTCGATGCTGCTTTAGGGCAACATGGATCATCGCCTCCCTTTGGGCGCACTGCTATCCTGAACACCATCAGGATGCTGGCAGCAGGCGGAAGCCATGGCTACCAGGCAGGCAGCTTTCAGTGTCTGTTACACAGGTCTGTCATCACATTGCAAGCCTGTGTCAGTTACCTAATCTGTAACAGCATGAGGTAAGAGTCCCCTTCTCACCAGGACCCTAACACAGAGGGGTTTTTGAGGAAGTCCTCTACCTCCAGGACATTTTCCCGAACTGACCAAATGTGTGGGATTTTGATAAAGACCTATAAAAAGAAAAGGGGGACACCATGAAACATCTGGCTGGCTGTGCCCCAAAAGGCTCTATGGGGTATTATTTGCTCAATGAACTTGCCCTCAGCCAGGGGGCGCTAGAAAATGGGTCTCGTCAGTGTTCCACGGTTACCAGTCTCCCATCACCGACGGCCTGACCACTAAGATGTAAGGTTCATAAGCCTAAAGCCACTGTGCTCATTTTTAATGGGAACTATAACTTAACTATCATACAAGTCAACGTCCTAACGAAGATGAATGAACTTGATGGGAAGCCAAACTATGGTCTGAAAGCCACTCAGTGAATTCAGGGGCAGAGTCAGGAAGTCAAAGGAAAGAGTCACTTATTTTGTGCACCAGGCCTGGGGCTCAACCTCTAGGCCAGTGTTCCACCTCCCAGTGCATCCTGCCTCTGCTTCTATAATACATCCCTCTGTATCCTCCATCTCCTGATTCAGTCCCTGCCTTTTGTCTTACTTTGTGTCTTTAAATTCACTTTGCTTGTGTCTAATCTCATCTGTCATGGGTCTATTTCAGAGTGGAACCTTCAGAAGTGTCTTGAGAGCTTTTTTTGTCCAAGTTCTTAGAGAATACCTTATGGTCACCCTGGTGGGCCAACCTACAAATGCCAGATGCTTGGGCCACTGCAACCAATAACAAATGGCCAGATGATGGTCATTGAACAATGCATGCCTTTTGTAATATTTACTGAGCACCTACTATGTGCCTACTTAGGTGGGGATATATCCATGGGGGGGGGAACTCCATGGAGTTCTCATTACAAGAGAAACAGGAGTGACAGGTAATAACACGCACAAAATAACGTACACAGTTGATGGTGATAAGCAAAAGAAATGTAACAAGAAAAGGGACTAGGAAGTGTTGAGAGTGGGGGCACTGCACTTTGAGACTGAGTACCCAGGGGAGTTCTCGGGTAGAAGGCCTAAAGATGGTATTGAAGGAAACCATGCAGATCACTGAGGAAACGCATTCCAGGCAGAGGGAACAGCAGGTGCAAAGTCCTAACTTACGAGGAACCCTGGTGTGTTCAGATTAGCAAGGTGGGCAGAGTAGCCAGAGCAGATTAGGCAAAGGAGAGGAGAAGGAAATGAAGGTGCCAAAGGTAGTCAGGAGTGCCCGAGTGCCCAGGGCCATATGAACAATGGCCAGCCTCTGGCATTCCCTCTGAGTGAGGTGGGGCCTTACAAGGACTGAGGGGCTGAGGAGCAAAGTGACAGGATCTGACTTCGGTAAACTGGGTCGCTCTGGCTGTTGTGTTTTTTGCTTTTGTGTGTGTTGGGGTGGGGGGAGGTAATTAGATTTATTTATTTATTTTTAGAAGAGGTGCTGGGGATCAAACCCAGGACCCTCCTGCATGCTGTTGTGTTGAAAACAAAAACAAACAACAAAGAGAGACCAGAGTGAAGGTGGGAGGCCAGTCAGAGAGTAGTGACTGCAACAATCCAAGCAAAAGCAGAGGGTGGCTTGAGCAGAGGAATGGAGGTGAATGACGAGAAGAGGGAGGTTCTGGAGGAGGTTCTGGAGATGATTCTAGAGATGATTCTGGAGATGGCACTTCCATGTGCTATGGCCAC